TGCCCGCAACCAATGGGCATGCTCTTGACCGGAATCGAACCCGGGACCTTTCAGTCCGCAGACAGATGCTCTACCACTGAGCCAAACCGGCTTCGGCTAAAACCCCACTTTAGCCATTGTTAATATCTGAACTTCATCATCAATCAGAGCACCTGTTAAGCTAGGTTTATCCTAGGCAATGTTAAGTTCTAGCTCTCAAAACACACATATAGTATTTAAATTTAGAGCCAAAGAAACCTGCTCATTAACAACTGAATATAAAAAATATAAGATAGTACGCACTAAAGTAGTGTGTCCAACTCTTTTACCAGACAGGAGTAAAGCAGGGGTGGGGAACATCTGGCTCAAGGGCTGTATACAGCCCTTGAAATCTTTTGGTCTGGCCCTGCAGGTTTGATTTCAGTTAAGGAAACGTACCTTGGTTGCAGGCTCAATCCCCAGCAACCAATGTGTCCCTCTCACATCAATGATCCTCTCTTTCTGTCTCTGTCTCTGTCTCTCTTTCTCCCCCCTTCTCTTCCACTCTGTCTAAAAATCAATGGAAAAAAATATCCTCTAGTAAGGATTAACAAAAAGTAAATAAAAGAAAAGCTAGGGATCTAGGGAGCTATTTTCTAAGGGTAGAAATTGTGCTTCCCACTCCCCATGAGTGAAGTTTATTTTTACATACTAGTATTTATCATCTCACTAATTTCATAATACTTTGGTCGATAATAATAGTATAATTTATCGAGAAAAAATGTTTAATTACTAGGAGATCGGAAACACCAGTTAAATTCTAAAATGTCTCTAACATATATAACTTTCATTTTATTCTAACTTTCATTTTATTCTAATGCATTGTTCTCTATGTAATTAACAGATATTATAAATGTCGATTTATAGCAATTTATAACCTAGAGTTGGAAAAGATAACAAGGCCATCAATTTAGAATGACATAACATACTAATCATCTTTATTACACCACTATGTACACATTTCCTTTCAGTGAAAAACAAAATAGCTTATATATGAATATTGCAAAAATCACCCAAGAATAGTTTGAGAAAATACAGAATTTGGAAAAGTCCTAAGCATTTTATAGGAATAAATTTGATCAGTTTCTTATTTGAATTATAATTCTTGATAAATGTCACCTTAATCCGTTTTTAAGTATATGAACCATTGCCCGACCCAGTGGTTTAGTAGTGACCTATGAACCAGGAAGTCATGGTTAGATTTCCGGGTCAGGGCATAAGCCTGGATTTCAGGCTCCATCCCCAGTAGGGGTTGTGCAGGAGGCCAACTGATGTTTCTATCTCTCCCTCTCCCTTCCTCTCTGAATTCAATTAAAAAATCTTTAAATATATACAGCCGAAACTGGTTTGGCTCAGTGGTAGAGCGTCGATCTGCAGACTGAAAGGTCCCGGGTTCGATTCCGGTCAAGGGCATGTACATTGGTTGCGGGCACATCTCTGGTAGGGGTGTGCAAGAGGCAGCTGATTGATGTCTCTCTCTCATCGACGTTTCTAGCTCTCTCTCTCTCTCCCTTCCTCTCTGTAAAAAATCAATAAAAAAAAAAAATATATATATATATATATATATATATATATTTAAATCTTTAAATATATGTGAACCAACTTAAGCTTACAAATGTAAGTTCTATTAATATCAATTCAATTCTAATGTAGTTTTAAGAAACTATAATTTAGCCTGGCTGGCACATGGCTCAGTGGTTGAGCATCGACCTATGAACCAGGATTCCAGGTCAGGGCACATGTTTCAGATTCCATTCCTGTGTGGGGCGTGCAGAAAACAGCTGATCAATGATTCTCTCCCATCATTGATGTTTCTAGCTTTCTCTCCCTCTTCCTTCCTTCCTCTCTAAAATACATACATACATACATACATACATACATACATATTTGAGGAAAGACAGCAGGCTCACAAAGTACTAGGCAGGCAGGTAGTCAAAATGAGTTCGGTACCCAAGGAGGACAGTGACAATCTACTGCTACTCAGCTCTAGCCAACTGTTGCCTTGAGGGGATATAGAGAAAAATAATAATAATAATAATAAAAACCAAACACTCTGCTAATCTAACAAAATAAGTCCACTAGCTAAGTTTCGTATGTGGGCTACCAGTCTGCTACACTGGCCACAATGGACAGTGGCTACAAACTGCTCTGTCTGAAAAACTTAGATTTAAAAAACAGCTCCGGGCGGAGGGTGGGGTGGGAACCTCGTGGAGGGGGGAAGAAATGAGGAACCTTTGTAATAATATGAACAATAAAGATTGATTTAAAATAAATAAATAAATAAATAAATAAATAAAATTAAAAAAAAATTAAAAACAGCTCCAGAAGGAAACTTGAGTAGGAGTGATGAACACACACTACAACATACAGATAATGTATTATAGAACTGTACACCTGAAGTCTATGTAATTTTATTAACCAGTGTCACCCAATACAATAAGAAAGAAACAATCTTCATTAATTTTTCCAAGTTAACATAATCTGAGTCCTAATCTGTATCTGAGTTTTTAAAACAAAGTTAGGTAATGTATGAGCTCAAAAAAAAATTAGCTCAATGTTAGTATTAGATACCAAAAGGACACTGAAAAGCAGCAGCAGCAACTCCAGCCTCCCTTCCACCTGGCTGTGGCTTTATGTCTCACACGCATCAGGCCTAGTCTCACCTTCTTCCCATCTACAGGCTATCAAGGCCTATCTCTCATCTCGGCTATAACTTTTCTACTTCAGGCCCTTCTCCCTTTCCCTATCGTGTGAAAGCACTTTCGGGACTGGCAGTAAAATGGCCTGTTTTACTCAACTCCAGGTCATTCTTATGAGGTCCTGTCGCCCCCAATGTAGCAGTTTTTCTCCCTAAATCTTTGAGCGCTGTGCATGTTGCCCACTCTTTATGGCAACCTGAAGAACTTACAGTATCTCAATTTTTCTTTTTTAACATTTTTATTGATTTCAGAGAGGAAGGGAGAGGGAGAGAAAGTGAGAAACATCAATGATGATAGAGAATCATTGATGGGCTGCCTCCTGCATGCTCCCCACTGGGGATCGAGGCCACAACCCAGGCATAAGCCCTTGAACGGAATCGAACCTGAGACCTTTCTTTCAGTCCACAGGCCAACACTCTATTCCCTGAACCAAGCCGGCTAGGGCAGTATCTACATTTTTCATAAACAACGCTTTCATCAGACTTTCTTTCCCCAGTTAGTTAAGGTTTGTTCAAGTAATGACAATTAACCAAAATTTAAAGACATATTAACAAAAATTTCATTCCTAAGCAAACAGATTTGAAAACAACTTCAAATATCCATTCCAATGCTCTTCTTTGAAAGGAAATGTGAGTTAAGAACAACCTAATTAAAGTTTTTTAAACTTTTTGTCTTTCTCCATTCTAACACAGGCATCCAAAAATCTACTTCTCTTTTTGAGTCTCAAAAAAAAAAAAAAAGAAAGTTATATTGATATTAACTCATATGAACAAACAACGTTCACCATTTCTATTTCTTCATAGCAATACGAACCTTCATTCCTGGAAACTTCTGAGAACCAAAAGAATGTTAGTGCCTCTCTCCAGGAAAATGCACAGAGCTCGTTCTGCATAACTTTTTCTTCCTGATTATGCTTCACAATCTTACTTTTCTGTTGTGGCAGATATATTTATATAAATATGTATTTCTGTTATTAAATGTTATGCATCTTTTAAGAAGAATAGTCTTCCTTAGTAAGACCTTTAGCTCTGAGATGAACTTGAGGAAGCAGCTTTCCTTTACAACTAATCACTACTTTCTAGCAGCCATCGATCGGACTGTAGCTGACGAAAAACTGCGAATTGCTTACCTCTGAGAAATTAACAGCCAAGGGAATGATCCCAGCCACGTAACATCCCGCCAACATAGCCAGGGACAGCAGACTAATGGAGATGAAATCATCCATTCTGCCCTCCTTGGTGCACCCACCACCTCCGGACTGCAAATTTTCAGTGGCTTCAGAGGGTTCTTAACCGCGTGCAGTGATTCCAAGAGAAGAGGGACTTTCCAGTTCTTTCGTGCTCCCTACCAGCAGATGTGTTCACGGAGCACCTTTCTCTTGAACGTACCTGGAAACGGCCCCCCCTTTTTTTTTTTTTTGCTGATATTAGCACCAGAGAGAACTTTCAGCAATCTTAGGCCGCCCAGCCCCTGAGTTTTTATATTCCAGTCATTGGATTCCGCTGGGTTAACAGAGATGGGAGAAGTCAATGGGGGAAATAAGCGAAGAAGCGATTTCTTCAGTGGTCGGAATGAGAACGGCACGATGGGCCCAATCTCCCCACAGTCAACGTTGCAGGTGGCAGCGGGAAAAAGGAGAAAAACCCAAGCGACACTTGGTCGTTCTCCCGGCACCCCTAGCTCTTTGGGGCACCCTGCCGGTGATCCCCCACCCCCAGCTGGAACTAGCCCACCAGTCCCGGCAAACTCTCCTTCGAGTTTCGAATGAGGAAAGGAGTCCCGTAAGTCTCTAAACGAAGAGATTGGAGTTCAGCAGCGGATCCGACACAAGGCTCTCTCCGCCCTTTCCCCGGTACTCCCCATATTACTCATCTCCGCTGGGCTTTGACCCGGAGCCACAGATAGTACAGCAGCCATGGCCGCCAAGTGGCAACTCTTCATTATATCCACTTCCGGATTGCCTCATCGCCCCCTCCTTTAAATGGGTTCTTCCGGGTTACAACTGACCTATGGCCCGGCATTCTTACACTGCCGCCATTTTTGAGCAACTATTCCCGCCCCCTCATCCCCCTTTTCATTCTGTGCTCTGCCTTTTAAATAGCGACTTGTGTCACTATTTACACCTGTGATCACTTCAGCCGTGTGTCTCACAACGAGAATACGGAAAGAGTTTTGAGGGGGGAAACATTGTTTTTCACGTTCCAAAAGATTATCCGTGTATCTTATCGCGCCCTTATCCAAGATGGCTGAAACAGAACCGGAACCCGCTGTGGTTGCCGGAAATGAGTGAGATTCTATGGTTCCAATTGGCTCTTTCGCGCTGCGCTTCTGACGACTTCCGGCAGCTCCTCTCGCGGGGTTGGCTGTTGGCGGCGTTGTGGTTCAGCTCGTGTGTGGCTGTGTGGCGGCGGCGGCGGCTGCAGCGAAAGAGTTTGGCGCGATGGTGAGAAAAGTCTTAGCGACTCCCCGAACTCCCAGCCTCCGGGTGGCTCCAGCCCCCGTACATCTTCTGCCCAGCCCCTCGAGCGCGAGCGTGCTGCTCCCCGGCCCTCCGGCTGGTGGGTCGACCCTCTCCCTTCCCGCCGCGGAAACGCTGGGCCTGGCTCTAGGCCCCGAGCCCGGGGCCGCCCCGTGGTTGCGCGCCCTCCTGCTGGGTCCGGCGGGGCGTGCGGGGCCCAGGATGCGCTTTCTGAGGAAGGCGGCGTGGTAGAGTCGCACGTAGGGATGCCCATGCTCCTTCCCTTCTAACGCCTCAGCCTTCTGTGGGAACAATGGCCGAGGGAACGTCTGAAAACCTGTTCCCGGAGCTAACAGTTTGAATTGATTGCCCTCAGGGTTCGGGCCAGGAAGGGTGGTCTTTGCTTTGTGTAGTGTGCTTTCGCAACTATTTCCCCCCACCCGCTTTTTTATTCTGTGCTTTGCCTTTTACAAAATATATGTAATTCTTTCTCTTTTCCAAAACTCTTGGTGTTTGGTGCCTGGTTTGGCTTTTCTCTCGGCCCTCGAGCCTGTTCTTGTCCGCATTTACATTCTGTTAGAAATGGAGGCCGAAAAGATAGGCTCAGCCTGGGGCTCCAGGTTCCTTAGAATTTGGCCCGGGTAATAGAGGAGTGGGTGGGAGGGTAGGTGGGCTTTTTTTCTCTTTTTTTAATCCACTAAAGAGATGCTCACAGGGATTAAGAGGTTACTTTAAAATAAAATTTAAAAAGAGGTTACTTGGACTATCCTTTTCTGGTTGTTTTTTTAAAAATTATATTTTATTGATTTTTTTACAGAGAGGAAGAGAGAGGGATAGAGAGTTAGAAACATCGATGAAAGAGAATCATCTATCAGCTGCCTCTTGCACACCCCCTTCTGGGGATGTGCCCGCAACCAAGGTACATGCCCTTGACCGGAATCGAACCTGGGGCTGACGCTCTATCCTCTAAGCCAAACCGGTTTAGGCCTTTTCTGGTTGTTAACAGGTTATGCAGCTATTTTTTAAGCAGGCACTTTTTCAGGTTGTACTTTTATGAATTAAGATATTTCAATATTTGGCCCAACATAGTCTCTCAAGGAGGACTAATAGAAAATTGGGTTTCCAGTTCCTGTTTTGTCATAATTAGCTATGTGACCTTGGGCAAGTCGTTTTTATTTTAAAATGTATATTTTATTGATTTTTTACAGAGAGGAAGGGAGACGGATAGAGAGCTAGAAACATGGATGAGAGAGAAACATCCACCAGCTGCCTCTTGCACACACACACACACACACACACACACACACACACACACAAACCCCCCACTGGGGATGTGCCCGCAACCAATGCACATGCCCTCGACCAGGACCTTCTCAGTCTGCAGACCAACGTTCTACCACTGAACCAAACCGGTTTCGGCGGCAAGTCATTTTATCTCTAAGTTCCCTACTTTCTCTGCCTTCTATGTCACTGTTTGGTAATGTGTTACAATGCTTAGCTTAAAATCTGAAAAAGTGGCAACAATTAATATTAGCCTGTTCTTGTTGGATAAATATCAGTGATAATTCCTTATAAAATTAAAAATTAGAATTCATATTTAAAATGAATGATGACTGCTTCGAAAGCCTTAAATACTTTGCTTTTTAGTTTCTTTCAAAGCTAATGAGCAAATTGTATGTATTGTATTTCTCCCTCCATAGAATTACTGATAATTTAGGGTTCATATCTGTTAGAGTTGGGAAAAAAAAGTAACACAGCCAGATTAACATTCATTAGAGTGAATCACAGCTGCTTGGTTATCAGATAAAAGGGATTTTATTAAAGGTAATTCTGCATAACTTTTCCTTCCTGATTATGTTTCACAATCTTATTTTTCTGTTGTGGCAGATATATTTATATAAATATGTATTTCTATTTGCTCAAATGTAATGTTAATGTAAAAAAATCATTCAAACCTGTAAAGAATTTTTTAAGTTTACTTGAGCCAAATTGTTGACAATTGCCAGGAAGCAGAATCTCAACATAATGAGATAATGCTCTGGAGCAGGGCAGTTTTTCACCTTGTTTTAAGGTGTAAGTGGGTGACAAGAACTCCATTGGTGATAGATCAGAGAGGCTGCAGACAGCAAAGTGGGGAGACCTCTGGGATTGGATAAAAAGTAAAATGATAGACATGCTTTTTTTTACTTAGGTGGGTGCAGGATACAACAGTAATTACAATGAGGGGATTTCTGGTCTCTGCAGAGTGGTGCCTCGTGCTTTGAGGGGTCCAGAAAAAAGGGAATTACTTTGACACTCCATCGATATGGTAGTGTAGATGCAAAAAGGATTGATCCCCAATGGGGGCCCATGCAGGAGGCAGCCAATCACTGATTCTCTCATTATTAATGTTTTCTATCTCTGTTTCCTCTTCTTCTCTGAAATCAATTAAGATATGTTAAAAAATAATCATCATTTTGACTACAGTTGTAAATTTGGTGATTTCTTGGTAATTTTAAAAAAATATATTGATTTTTTTACAGAGAGGAAGGGAGAGGGATAGAGAGTTAGAAACATCGATAAGAGAGAAACACTGCGATCAGCTGCCTCCTGCACACCCCTACTGGGGATGTGCCCGCAACCAAGGTACTCGCCCCCCGACTGGAATGGAACCTGGGACCTTTCAGTCTGCGCTCTATCCACTTAACTTTTAACCCTTGCTTTTGAGCAGTAAATATTGAAAATAGTGAGATTTGCCATGAAGGACTTTATATCATACTCTGAATTCCTCAAATATGAATTAGAACCTTATATTGAAGTCACATTTTTCCCTTGCAGTCTCACACCATTTTGCTGGTACAGCCTACCAAGAGACCAGAAGGCAGAACTTATGCTGATTATGAATCAGTGAATGAGTGCATGGAAGGTGAGTTTAAATACTAATCAAGGGGTAAAAATCACTTTCCCCTGACATTCACTACTAAAATATATCTCACTTAGGAATTGGGTTTGTTTTGTCCTCCAGATTTCTTGGATTCTTCCTTTGAGCAGTGGAAATAGATACTTAGGGACATTGTTAGAAATAAAAATTACCTCAGAGAATTAAGGCAAATGGAACCAAATCAGTGTAATTTGTTGTGTATTTGATAAGTTTATACTACTGTGAAGAGAACAGTTAGCCCTTAGTGTTTCTTTACTTGGTAAACCATTAGATGAGAGCATGTAGATTACATCATCACTAATTTTTATTATATTTAACCACATATATGGTTAAAAATACTAATTTGCAATTGACAATTTGCGCATATATATATTTATGCCTTATATGCAAATTGTCCGCTTGGGGATTTGACTGATGGGGAGTTTGATCACTCACTATGATGTGGGCTGACCACTAGGGGGCACTGTGGAATGAAGGAAGGCCCCCGGCCAGCAGCTGCTAGGGACCTTACCCTTGCACGAATATTATACACTGGGCCTCTAGTTGCATCATAGACACCAGCTGTATATGCCCTGTACCCTTCTAGTAAGTTGTTCATTGTTTTCCTATATAGAGTTTATAGTCACTATTTTAGCTGCTGCTAGGCATGCCCCTGGATTTGTTGCTATCTAATGCTAACTGGATTCTAATTAAAATTTGTTTGTTGGGGGTCAGCAATGGGTTGATGTATGAAAAAAAAAAGCTACTTATAATAATTAGAGTCAGCTTCTAGGTAGCTGGTACTGTGCCATTCGCCAATTTTTTGAGGTGTTTTCTTATTGAGTCTTAGGAGTCCTTTGCATATTTTGGATAACAGGTTCTTTATAAGATACTAGAGGCCCAGTGCACAAAATTCATACACTTGGGTCAGGGGATGAGGGGTCCCCTAGCCTTGCCTGTGTCCTGTCACAGTGCAAGAGCTTCACAATCCATCGCCCCAAAGATGTAGGCCCCACTCACCCATCCCGGGCTCTTTGATGGATTGCCCCAAAGAGGTAGACCGGAGCTGGGGGTGAGGGAGGGTCCTGCCTCTGAGCCTCATGGAGCCAAGGGATTTCCCCCACCCCGCCCAGACCTCATTGTGCTGAGGCCTCCACCAGGCCTTCTGGTGATGGATTGTGAATGCATGACGCAAGTCCCGAACAGTGCAAGTCCCTGCGCACACAGCCTGCTGATTGGTCATTATATGTGAGGGCTGCCTGACCTTTTGCCTATTGCCTTTTTATTAGTATAGTTAAGATTTTTTTTTCAGTTTGTGACTTGTCTTTTCACTTTTTGAATTTTTATTGATTTTAGAGAGGAAGCGAGAGAGAGATAGAAACATCATTTTGATGATGAGAGAGAATCATTAATCAGCTTCGTCATGCACACCCCACACTGGGGATTGAGCCCATAACTAGGGCCATGTACCCTGACCTGGAATCAAACCATGACTTCCTGGTTCATAGGTCAACGTTCAACCACTGAGCAATGCTGCCCGAGTCTTTTCACTTTTTTTTTTTTTTTTTAATATATTTTATTGATTTTGTACAAAGAGGAAGGGAGAGAGATAGAAACATCGATGAGAGAGAGTCATTGATCAGCTGCCTCTTGCACACCCCCTACTGGGGATATGCCCGCAACCAAGGTACATGCCCTTGACCGGAATCGAACCCGGGTCCCTTCAGTCCCCAAGCCGATGGATGCTCTATCCATTGAGCCAAACCGGTTTCAGCATCACTTGTTAGTGTCTTTGAATCACAGAAGGTTTAAATTTTTATGAACTCTGGCTAGCAACTTCAGTACAATGTTGAATACAAGTAGCAAGAACAGATATTGTAATGTTCTTCCTCATCTGAGTGGGAAAGCATCTAGTCTTTCACTGTGAATTATAGTAGCTGTATCAGTGATTTTGCTTGTTTTATTGTCTTTTTATTATATTTGAGTAGTTACGTGCTTATTCTATGTGCTAGTAGTGCTTCTTATGCATTATTTCATACACTCTTCACAAGAGCTCTATGAAGATACTTTTATCTCCATTTGAAAGAGTTCAAGAGATTGAGTCAAGTCTGAATCCAGAGTCAAGGATATTAAATACTCTATTATGATAATCTCTTCCTCATTGCCAATTTTGTTTGTTTGGGGGTTGGGGGTTGTTTTTTGTTTGTGGTGTCTTTTTGCATTGTATCAAATTTTGAAAAGCAGAATAGAAAAGCATATGTTTATCATCTATCATTCATTCCAAAGTGGTGATTTTCTTTACTCTGAGGCTTTAGGAATGTTTATTTATTGAAAAGCCTGATAAGACCCTTTATTTAGTCCTCACTTGTTGGAACCATCATATGGCAAGTCTTTAAGTCCTTTTAGATCCAATTGGTACTGTGCCTTTTGACAGATACCAATTGTAGTTACCATTTTATTAAAGCACAAAATATCAACATTTTGATGAATTTATAAATTTTTTGAATTTGGACCATTTCACAAATTTGTGTGTCATCCTTGTGCAGGGGTCATGTTAATCTTCTCTGTATTGTTCCAATTTTAGTATAAGTGCTGCCAAAGTGAGCACTATACATTTTTTTTATGAAATAGCTAGTGCAACAGTTAAAACAAATGTGGCCAACTTATTTTCCCAGCCCAAGTTTATGAAAATAAGTATTGTGATATCATATAACACTGTTTGTATTCTAAGTTTAAGCAATTGTAAGATCTTGGTTTCCTTCCTCCCCCGTTCTCTTAGGTGTTTGTAAAATGTATGAAGAACATCTGAAGAGAATGAATCCCAACAGCCCCTCAATCACATATGATATCAGCCAGTTGTTTGATTTTATTGATGATCTGGCGGACCTCAGCTGTCTTGTGTAAGTATTTACCCCCATATATCTTAAGTTGTATTTTTCTGATGTTTATTCATCTGTTTGAAGTGGTTTATGGTGTTGGGAACTCACTCTGTGTCTGACACTGATCTTTGTATTTTGACTGCTAGGTAGTAACTAATATTTCCTGTATATATGGTTCATGAGTTATGTTGGCAATATAAAGACAGGAAAATATAAGAACTTTGCTAATTTGATACAGTTTAGTATGCAGAGAGGATGCTAACTAAGAGGTTCAAAGTTGTGATTCTTTTGTTCCTTAAACCAATCTTTTCTCTTAGGTCCTCCCTCACCCCCCCCCCCCCCCCTTGTCTTTATCCTTAAAGGCTTTGGATTAAAACTAAGGTTATTTTGTCTTCATAGCACTATTTAAAAAATGTAAATATATGCAGGACTGAAATGGAATTTAATTTTAATTCTACCCAATGTTAACCATGTATATTTTGGTATGTTAGGATGAGATTTTTTTAGAATCACATTTTCTATTCTCACATTTGTCAAATTTTTTTCGTGCCAGACAGTATACTAGAAGTAACTTTTTCAGTGGTGAAAAATTCTAAAATAAAAAGCTCAGAATGCTATAAGAGGCCAACAAAGCTGCAGGTATGCTAACAAGAAAAGAGGAATTGTAGGCAGCCAACAAGGAGAGCTGAAAACTGATGACATGACCTAGTAGAGAATGAGAAATTGATGGCTTTACGTTAGGATCATGGACAGTTCGGTAACAGTAAAGTAAGGAGTGCATGCAGATGTAGAAGTTTAGGGAGATTGTTTTCATGTTCTCAGGAAAATAGGAAGCAGGGACACCATTTAGAGTTGAGGTTGAGGGAGAAGGTATTGAAGGTTTATGAAAGGTAGGAAATAATCCAGGAGGGTGAAGGGGGTTTGAGCAGTGGTTGGTAAACTGCGGCTCGTGGTTTGCCGCTCTGTTGACTAATGAGTTTGCCCACCACTGGGTTAGGGAAATGTGTGACTTACAAGGTATCTGATAATAAATTTAAAAGGAAATAAATCATTGTGATAATGGGTCTTTTCCTAGTCTTTTTTAAAAATATATTTTATTGAGTTTTTACAGAGGAAAGGAGAGAGATAGAGAGCTAGAAACGTCGATGAGAGAGAAACATCAACCAGCTGCCTCTTGCACGCCCCCCACCGGGGATGTGCCCGCAACCAATGCACATGCCCCTGACCGGAATCGAACCCGGGACCCCTGTCCGCAGACCGACGCTCCACCACTGAGCCAAACCGGTTTCGGCTTCCTAGTCTTTTTTAAAAAAAATTTTTTATTGAATTTCGGTGGAGAGAAGGAAACATCAATTTGTTGTTCCAATTATTTATTCATTCATTAATTGATTCTTGTATGTATATGTGCCTTGACAGGGGATCAAACCCAAAACCTTGGCATATTGGGACGACGCTCTAACCAACTAAGCTATCTGGCTAGGGCCTAGTCACTTTTAACCTGATAGTTACAGGTAGATAATTAGTAAATATATTGTTAAAAGTTGAGGGTATATGTAAGTGAGTATTGTACAAAGGACCAAATGACCATGAAATAAATGTAAGTGCGGTTTGGGGTGGTGTGGAGACAGAAATAGGATCAATTAACTATAGGTCAGAGTGGAGTCAAAGAGTTGTTGAATGAGATGCTTGAAATTGGTTTATTGATGTTGATAGTAATAAGGTAAAGTCAAACCTCTTTCTCCAAAATCTACTATCTGGAACAATTTGGTTCTCAACCAACTTCTTCACAAGACAGGAAAAAATGTCTCCTTTGGGTTTGACAACCTTTTCAAGCTGATACATCTCTTGGGCACCTAACTAAAATAACAGAAAATTGCTGTGAATATTTTTGTGGTTTTTTTTTGTTTTTGTTTTTTTGCTTTTGTTGCTGGCAAAATGTACAATTAGCACAATTTTAAAACATAAAGAGGCCATCAAGAGTGCTGATGTCGCTAAGAGTGTGAAGTGCTCTGAAACAACTATCACAAGCAATTGAATAAGAAGAAAAACTTATTATGACAGTACATCCTACCCCTCCCCTTTTCCTAGATTCTGACTTGGGCTGTTTTATCATTAGGCCAGGAATTGAGTCTAATTTTTGTAATTATTTTTTTTATTTTTAGAGAGAGGAAGGGAAGGGGAGAGAGAAACTTCAATGTGAAAAAACATGGGTTGACTGCCTCCTGATCGCCCCCTACTGGGGATAGAGCCTGAACCAGGCATGTGCCCTAACAGGAAATTGAAGCTAGCTGTGTAGAGGAGGACACCCAACCAACTGAGCCACAACAGCCAGGGCAAGCCTAGTTTTGATTTGTAAATTACCGTACTCATTAAGTTTACTTGGCAGTGACAGGACTTTTTATAAGATGAAAGTAACAGCTTTTAAAATATGTAGGCTGTTAGTTTGTTTAAAGACAAAAGGGACATTTTTATTCTTAGTTATTGTAATGAGGAGGCACTCATCTGAAAGACAGCCTAATAGCAGTGATGAAGACACTGACTGATTTCACCTCTCAGCCCCATAGCTTCTATTCTATAAACCTGCAGTCTGAGCATAACACGAGGCTAAATGATTCGTCTATGCCAACAACTTGAGATTTTATAAATGTACTTAAGATTTAATTGTCTCATTTTCAAGCACAACTTTCCATAAAGAAAGCATTATTACTTTTTCTTGAGTTGGAAAATAGCCTATAAGCTGATAGATTCCTAAGTGTTCACTATGAAAGAGATCTTGTTGGGATGAGGGTGTAGTCTAAATAAATAAGGCTGTTCCACCCAAGTATTATAGTTCTGAAAATTTCTATTTCTTTTTTAGTTCTTTTCCAGTGTTAATATAAATATTTTAGTCTATTCTGCCAAACCTTGAAGTAGACTAGATTAGTACTTAATTAGGAAGGGGGGGTGGTATTCAGCTCGCCTGGCAGGGCTCAGTGATTGAGCATCAACCTATGAATCAGGAGGTCACGGCACATTTTTAGAGAAGAAGGGAGGGGACAGGAAGGGTCAGGGCACATGCCCAGATTGCGGCTCTATTTCTGATGTGGGCATACAGGAGGCAGCTGATCAATGATTTTATCATTGATGCTTTCTTCCCTTCCTCCCTAAAATCAATAAAAATATATTTTAAAGAGGATATTCAAATAAAATTGTTTTACTTTTTCAAATTCTCTCATTGTAACTAACGGACATTAATAAAAAATCAAGTGTTTATTTTTTTTTGGTTAAGCATTTTATAAGAGAAAGCCTGTTCATTTTTAATAAACCAGGGAAAGATTATGACAATGCCTTTGGAGTTTCTCTTGCCAAGAATTGGAGTGCAGGGCTACTAGTGAGGACTCTGCTCTCACAGGATTGTAAAAAGGATTAAATTTATTTTTTTGCCAACCTGACAAAAAAAAGTATAATTTAGATTCATTCACACAGGACGGCTATTAGAGTGCTGGCTGTTGTCATGTTTTTATTTGGGGCATACCAATTGAAAATTGATATCCTAGCGTATCCCTGAGGTTTTTTTGTTGTTGTTTTTAGGCAAACTGCACCTTCACATATTTTAGATGCCATGCAGTTTTTCTACCAGATGGTACACATGGTTTAAAAATTCAACATGTAATCAGCTCTTCTACATTTAAAAAAAAAAATGTTTTATTGATATTTTACAGAGAGGAGGAAGGGAGAAAGATAGAGAGCTAGAAACGTCGATGAGAGAGAAACGTCGACCAGCTGCCTCCTGCACACCCCCCACCGGGGATACCCGCAACCAACGTACATGCCCCTGACCGGAATCGAACCCGGGACCTCCCAGCCCACAGACCGATGCTCTATCCACTGAGCCAAACCGGCTTCGGCATCTTCTACATTTTAAAAAAATGTTTTTATTGATTTCAGAGAGGAAGGGAGAGGGAAAGAGAGAAACATCAATGAGAGATAATCGTTGATTGGCTGCCTTCCTCTCACACCTACTGGGAATCTAGCCCGTAACTCGGGCATGTGCCCTTGACTGGAATTGAACCTGGGACCCTTCAATTTACAGACTGATGCTCTATCCATTGAGCCACACCAGCACTCTCACATTTTCATTAAGTTCATGTATGACCATTTGTATCTGCCAGCATTGGGTAGTTAAAATTTGGAGTTTAAAAAGAAATGACAATAATTAATTTCTTTTCCTCAGTTACCGAGCTGATACCCAGACATACCAGCCTTATAACAAAGATTGGATTAAAGAGAAGATCTACGTGCTTCTTCGTCGACAGGCCCAACAGGCCGGGAAATAGTTGTGTTGGCAGCATTTGGGGGTTGGGGGTGGGCTTGGAACACAGGTGTGTACAGCAATCTGTAGTGAAGTTTTGTATTATAGTAATCCTGTTTCCATTTTGGTACACTCTGGCCAGGATTGAATGTGTTAGATGATATGTGAGAATCTTGTTCAATCTGAACTCCCATCACACACCCCCTTTCTCTCTTTTTTTACTTATTGTTATGATGATCTAGAAGGAAGTTTTTCTTTGTCAGTTAATGTTGACTCCAATCCTTCATATCTGCTTTATAACATTCACTGTACTAACCCTTCAAGTTGGGGTGGGGGTAGTGACACAGTTTAATTATGTGCTAAGATAAAGTCTTAGTGAAAAACAAATAAATGTTCTTTAGTTATATTTTTCCCATGGTTGATTTTTTATTTTAGTTTTTTTGGTCTCTAAACAGGAACATTGAATTTTCTTGCAAAGCATTAGTGTCAAAACCAATAGACTGCTTCAGAATTTGAATTGAGCTTTGATGTGATTTATATAACAAGCTTTTACCTTAGTATTTTCCTAGCCTTGTGAGTCTCATTTGTAGATCCAAGGTTTACTGTGGATGCAAACATGAAAGACTTTCTGGTGACATGGCTCGTCTGTAGCAGCAGGGCAGTTAGTTCCCTAGCTTTGGTTATGTCCTCTCAGTGGGAAGTCCTTGTGCCCTTCTCATAGCCTTCAGCAGTTGAATGGCACTGTTGTATGGCAGTGTAAGGGTGAGGAAAAGACCACAGAAAAATACAAGGTAACCTTGCTTTTAATGTAGAGTGTGGTGTTATTTGACTTGAACATACACTTTATCATACCTACAGTCATCAGGTATGTGGACATTTCCTGATTCTGCTATTATGACAGACAGCCAATAATATCTTCATGCATTATGAGTTTGGCAAGGTTTTTGGAGGCTTCACGAGTGCCCCTATATTCTCTTCTTGTCCGCAAACCCATTTCTATATTAGGGCCATGACTATTTTTTTTGTTTTATGCAGGACCAAATTCTAAGTTACGGTAGTATTTATATGAGCTCACTTTTTCTACAGAGTAATTGTTCTATCAATGTCATCACTGTATTAGAGGATTATTAAAATTAGGGTGCCTTACCAAATTTATTTATTGCTGTAGTTATTTCATGTGAACCAGTCAATTTTTTTTTTTAATCTTGTGGAAGCTTTTATTTCAGTGATCAAAAAATTGCAGTAAATAGAATCAATACTGATTGACATTAGACATGCACCTCTACATGGAACTGCTGTTAGTTTTTGACAGGCCTAAATCTTTACAACTAATATTTAGGCCCGTCTTTGAATTTCTTTGACCCTGATATACAGGATAAGTTAAATTCTTCCTCATGGCACTTTAGTAACGAGAATTATGTTTGCTGGCTAGATTCCTTTATAAGTAAAGACCTCTGGATTCTCAGGCTGCCTGTACTACCTGAGACCATACTTTATATACTTAAGTAAATCACAGTATAAGGAAGGGAGATAATTTAGAAAGCTGAATTGTATTATTTGAATAGATTTTTTTCCCCCAGCACTGATGGTCAAAACACTAGTTAAATGCCAAATAACTTCGCCCATTGCCACCCTTTCTCAGACACCAAGATGTGTATCAATGTCCATAGGCATCTGAAATGAATCCACAAAAGACAGATTTTACCTATGTGGTCCCACTATCAAATTACAAAAGGCAATTCCACTATCCAAATTATAGGAAGTAGTTACTGGGACGTTCAGAAAAACATAGTCCCACATACAGTAATATGCATCTAAGGTTTTCCATTCATCTGCCAATTGTTTTCATAAGATTAACATTAAAAAAGAGCAACTAAATACACATATGACCCTCAAACCCCAAACTCAGAAAAATATTGGTCTTTGTTCATTTTCAGATGACCAGATACTTGCAGAGTGCCACAAGGCGGGAGCAAATCCCCCTGTAGCCTTTTCTTCATTCTTGAACCACTTTCCTTTTCCAAAAGAGTAATACTGAAATCAGTCAGAAAGGCTTTCTGAGAAGACTGGCTTGGATTTCTGGGTCTGTTCCCATCGATTCAAGATGAATTGGCTTGTATCAATGAAGCGTTCAACGCAGTTCACAAAACAGGCCTTAGCCCGACTGTCCAACTTTCGCTTAGGCTTGTCCATGCACTTCTCCCAACAATGTTCCGTCACCTGGTGTACCAGCTGCTGGAAGCGCTGCTTCTGAGTCGCCACCTTGATGAAATGCTGCACTGAGCCCAAATCCGCTGCCGAGGAATTCGAAGAAGAATCCATCCCAGACCAGCCACGCACACCTTGACAAACTGCACCAACCTAATTTTTAAAAAAATATATTTTATTGTTTTTACAGAGAGAAGGAGAGGGATAGAGAGAAACATCGATGAGAGAGAAACCGATCAGCTGCCTCCTACACACCCCTTACTGGGGATGTACCAGCAACCAAGGTACGTGCCATTGACTGGAATCGAACCTGGAACCCTTCAGTCCACAGGCCAACACTCTATCCACTGAGCCAAACCGGTTAGGGCTTAATTTTTTTTAATATATGTATTTTTTATTGATTTCCGAGAGGGAGAGACAGAAACATCAACAATGAGAATCATTGATCATCTGCCTCCTGCATATCTCACGCTAAGGATTAAGCCCACAACCCAGGCATGTGTCCTAACTGGGAATTGAACCTCCTGGTTCATGGATTGACATTGAAGCACACCAGCCAGGCTGAACCAGCAAATTTTTAAATCTAAATTTTTTTACGGGGGGGAAAAGTAATCCAAAAGTAAATCAGATTGTCCTATTTCTCACTTGGCCTATCCTATTAATATAGTTTTATTTCTCTAACATATAATTTTTACATTTTTTCAAAAATTTCTAGAGCATATCTGGAAAGAATGGGATCCTTTGATTTTTAGATATAATACAGTTTCTGGTATTGGACTTAACCGGAAAATAAAATTTTCTGTGGAATGTGAGAAAATATATGGGTCTTAGATATTGGGTGATGAGAGCAAGAAGGAAGGGAACATTATTTTGAGTCATACTTTATAAGGCTTAAGGTAGAATAGGACTGGAATAAGTATGGAGACAAATTTATCTAGAATTACACAGAAGAGGAGTAGTATTTTCATTGTTAAGGTAAAGTCTGATGACACTTAATGGTCTGGCCAACCACAATCATTGTTCCTATGTCAGCTAGTCAGAGAATTGTGTGGCCTTTCCCTAACCACAGTAAAACAGGTCTGATTTCTGTTTATAAAGGTATTTTATTCTGCTACATAAAGGTGAAACAATATTTACTGGCAGTACTTTTAGCATTTGGTCTAAGATGTGTCAGTATAAAAGGGAAATTTTGACTATCTCACTTCACTTGCAGTTTCGCTGGCTTAAAATATTTCAGCAGTTCACTAAATGCCTTAGGCACTGTTTGGACAAGTTATGTATCTTATTTCTGTTAGGGTGGAAATGGCAGTGAACTTTTACTGTCACCAAGGGATGAGCAATTTGTTGTCCTAAAAGCAGACCAGACTTTAGGTTGGAGGAAAGAGAGCAGGGCAATTGTTAGTATGACACCAGCTTCATATAAGTATGGCGCATCTTTTATTATAGGTGGAGAATGTCAGGCCCACAGGCTATCTAAAGCCCTCAAAATAATTTGGTCTGGCCCTGCCAAAGCATTAGGGGTGAGTTAATTGTTTGACCAAATATTAGCAGGCTAATTTTTAAGTTGATAATTTTGTGTAGCTCTCAAATGATGTTCTAAATACCCAAATGGTCCTTGGTAGAAAAAAGTTTCCCCATCCCTGCTAATAAGATTGCTAATTTTTGAATATTGGAGTGAAAATCAGGGTTAATAATGTCTTCAACAGACATTAAACGCCCAGTCTGTTTTGTGTTCTGACGGAAAGTATAGTGTCAGTCACCAGTGACTGGGCACTTAACGTGTTAAAAATAAATATTACTGTATCTGTAGAGGTACTTTAGAAGAAGAAATATTAATTTATATATTAGCATAATGATAAGGGCATTACCACTTGGGCATGGTGTGTACTATTTAGGAAACATTTTTACATATTTAATCATCACAGCAACCCTTTGAGGTAGGAAAAGTTACTCCTCTATTAATGGTGAAAAATAGGTTCAGATTCTTCAGTTGGTTCACACAGATTACACAGGAGTACTACAAAAACTTCACTAAGTGAGAAAGACATGGTCTTAACCTCAATAATCTTGAGGAGCACTGGGAGTCTCACAAAATGAAAAGTTCTGAGGTAAGTGATGGATCTCTGGTACCTATCAAAGGAAACTTTAGACTCATTTGCATTCATAATACATGAATAGGTTGCATTTGTCACCTGTTTGCTCAAAAGCACACAGAAAACAGCTCACCAATCCAGCATCATTAAAAGTTTCTCGCATGGTAGTGCGTAGTATTCATGGCAGTTTACACAGCCACCTAAGAATTATTCTCTGCACACACCACAACTGATAGCTTAAGTGCAAGAAATAAGACCAGTAAGTTTAAGAGTTAACCTTGGCTTAGAAGCCTCATATAAAAACAGGTGCCACGCCAAAACTGTTTTGGCTCAGTGGATAGAGCGTCGGCCTGAGGACTGAAAGGTTCCGGGTTCGATTCCAGTCAAGGGCATGTACCTTGGTTGTGGGCACATCTCCAGTAGGGGCTGTGCAAGAGGCAGCTTATCAATGATTCTCATCGATATTTCTAGCTCTCCTAACTTCCTCTCTGTAAAAACTCAATAAAATATGTATAAAAATAAAAACAGGTGCCACAATCTATATACAGTATATAAAAAGCCAGCGACCGTAATGCCAGAACAGCCAGATGACCAGTCTCTATGACACCCACTGTGGCCAGTGAACCCAGCCCCTCCCCCTGGGCCAGCCCATCCCTGATCAGCCTCCCCCACCCTGATTGAGGGAAGGGTGGCTGGCCAACTCCTCCTGTGGCCCCTCAGTTCAGCTCTGCCCCCAAGTAAGACTCCCCTCCCCCACCCAGATCCAGGACCCCATCAGGGCAGGCCAGCTGGCCCCCACCTGTGCACCAGGCCTCTATCCTATATAATAAAGGATAATATGCAAATTGATCCTAAAGGCAGAACAATCAGAAAGACCGCTGGAGCAGTCACTATGAGGCACACCAAAGACCTCTTGGTCCCTTTCCTCAGCTGGCAGGCTCCAATCACCTGATGGCAAACGGAACTGGTGGTGGGTGGTGGGGGGATGCAGGTAACCCCAGGCCACGGCCCTCATCCCACCAGTTGCGGGGGTGGGGCCAGCAAGCAGGCAAGAACAGCCAACTTTTCAGTTCCTTCTCCCAGCTGTCAGGCACTGATCACCCTATGGTG